GTTCTGTGACAATTAAGCCATGCCATAACAGACTGCTGGTCTCTGTTCTCCACAGTGGGAATGGGTTGGGCCAAACATGGCGGCCCCTCCCCTCAGCAGCTGGTGGCAGCTGGTGTCACAGGCCACCCCGGGTATCAGATGGTATCCCGGGACTTACCAGCAGCCACGGGGCAGACTGGAGTCTATACTTAGAAACCTGTGCCGACTGGCACCAGGAGCCATCCACACTCACTGTGGGTCCCTGTGGTGCCAGGGGCCTCACTGCCTGGGTGTGGGTCACAGAGACATGTCACAGTTCAAGCCAGAACTGAGGGGAGCCGGGAGAGGGAAGGCAAGGTGCAGATCCACACTGTGCATATCTGGTCAGCGTCCTCGTCTGGGGCACATAAGCCAGCAGGGTGAGGGCTCCACGTCCACGGGTGGTGCTCTGAGGACCATTTGGCACCTGGACCCYTGTGCTGTGGGCAGTGCATCCCTCAGCCTCCTTGTCTGTTGAAGAATTAAAGGGCCAAGACCCTTAACTGGTCCCCAGAAACTGGTCACAACAGTAAGGGAGCCCCACGGGTGGCCACAGGGAGCCTGTGCCTCTGTCTAGAGCCGGGGAAGGAGAAGGCAGAGAGGAAGGGCTATTTCTGAAGGGAGCAAGGGGGCACCTGGCAGATGTTCTTTCTGCCTGCTCCCTGGCGCTGAGGAAGGAGGAGGAGGAGAGGAGACCTGGATGATAACGGTCAGATATTCTGGAAGGTAAAGGAGGGGCTGAGTCAGCAGGGTGGGCCGCCTTTAGGGTTTTCCACAGAGATCAGCAGCAAGTTGGGGACACTAGCTTTGTCTGGGGACAGTTCTGGGCCCAGCCTCCTCACCACCTCACCCCCAGGAGGCCCAGCGGCCCACCCACTGCCCATGGGCSAGCATGGCAGGGAAAAGAGCCAGGCTTGGACCACCCCCGGCCCCCCAGCCTTGGGCACCACCCTGCCTCTCCCTGGGCTTTGGTTTTCTGATTTACACAATGAGTGGGTTTCACTAGGAAAGATCAGTGACCCTTAGCCCTGGCTGCACCCTGGAATTTCCTGAAAGATTTTTTAAAAAGAACCTGGGTGCCCTGGCCCCATCTCTGACCAGCYGAATCAGAACTCGCAGGGGTAGGGACCACTCGCAGGGCATCAGGTGGTGCGGCATGCAGTCTGGCAGAGGTAGCCCAGGGTAGAAAAGGTCTGGCAGGGCAGGGCTGTGTCCTGGGGCTGGGCCTATCATCCTGTGAGACCCACATTCCTTCACCAACCCCAGCCTCRCCCAAGCTGGAGAACAGGTGCCCCAGCTGGAACTGGAAGACTCAGACAGATGGCACAGCAGCGAGGATGGAGGGATGCAGGACCAGGGGAGGGGTGAAGAAAGGRGTAGTGATGAGCATTGATTATGCACCTTCTAGGTGCCAGGCACTGTTAGAACTGTTAAAGATCACCAAATGCAATCCTCAAAATAGCCTGAGGTATGTATGTCAGAGAGGGTGGGTAACTTGCCCGAGGCCATACAACATGATGGGTGAGGCTGAGACATGCCTGGTGCCACTGTCTTGCTCCATGAAGTGGACTCTCAGGGCAGAGTGCCTCTGTAGCCACTGGCTTCACAGGACACACCTGGCTTCTCTGACTCCACACCGCCCTAACCAGGGTCAGTTAGAGTCAGCTCRTCCAGCAGTGGGGTTGACAGCAGCTGCAGGGGCTCCCCAGAGGCCTTCTCTCCATGGRCCCCCTCACCCTGCTTCCCAGCTGCCTCAGAGCTGCCCACAGTTCCTCTCCTGGTCTTTGGTGGGGGCTGGTGCTTTCCAGCTCAGCCTAGGGCAGATCTCCAGCTGCCAGCTGTCCCAAGCCACCACCTTCCCTCCAGGGCCACTGTCACCTCCTGGAAAGCTTGTCTTGGGGCTGCCTCCCGGCCCCCTCACTGACACAGAAAGGCCCATTCTTCCTCTTTGCCATGGTTACAACCAAACAGCCAAAGACATGTGAATAAACAGGTGTGGCCATGTTCCCGTGACATTTAGGGACACCGAAACTTGAATTTCATATCATTTCATGTGTTACAAAATATTCTTCTTTTGCTTTTTCCCCTGCCAGTTAAAAATATGAAAAACACTCTTAGTGTACAGAAAAACAAAATCTGGCCCACAGGCCATAGCTCTTTGACCCTGGATGTACTGGGTCACTCAGTGCCTCAAGAAACACCCACCAACCACAATGGGTCCCAGGCTTCAATGACCCTTCCCCACCGTGCCCCCTGCCTCCTCCAGGGCACCCAGCAGGAAGAACACCCAGGACAGGCTCCTACCCAGCCCCATAGCTTCCACCTAGGCAGCCCAAGTCTGTCACTTGTGTCATCGACACACACTTGTAAAACTGCTTGTCTTGGCTACCATTTGAAAACGGCCAGACACATCTAGCATGAGAGAAGCATGCATATGCATGCGCATACACACACACACACACACACACACCAGCGTGGGGGGCTGATGATTCCCCACATCTCCAGGTTCCTCCCAAAATAGAGGGAGGAGGTGGGTGGGCTTCCCCAGACTGAGCATGACTGCAGATATAAAATTGAAAGAAACACTATTATCCACAAAAAGTCTCAAGACAAAAATGAGATACTCCAAAAATATTGTTTGTTTATTTTTTGGGGTTACTGTAAAATTTTTAAACAATTCTTGTGTGTGTTTGTATGTGTCAGCCTGCAGCCAAAAAGTAACATTAACACCTTGGGTGACACTTGGCTTCTGAGAACTGGCAAATGGGAAAGTCCCTTGTTGGACAGAATAGGGTGCTGGAGAAGGGCTGGGGCAGAGCAGGCCTGGGCTCAGAAGCCCCTCCCCACCCTGTCTGCTCCACAGCAGTGGCTCCCTGTCCCTGGAGCTGTCCCTGGCTCCCTTTCTGATGCAACAGAATAGCAGGGTGACAGACAGCAGCTGATCATACACTGTCCCGGCCCACTAGGACACTTCTCCTTGAAGGAAAGGGGAATCTGGGATTGTCGCCAGCAAATCCCACACATAGGTTGTAAGGGGAAGATCTGGCTTGAAATGTGGCTCTATAGGGGAACCCCGGCTCTCTTGAGGGTCCAGTAAGGCCCTGACAGAAATAAACAGGTGTAGCCATGGTTATTTCTCACTGGTCCCCAATGTCTCCCCCTTCCAATTCGCCCCCATTCAAACTCACCATTAAAAAGAGTCCCGCGAGCCCCGTCTTCTACCTACTGCCTCCTCCAGAGCTGCAGGGTGAGAGCTCTGGATCCAGCCAGCGGGGCCAGCTGTGCCAGCGCGCCCACAGTGGCAAACAGGCCTGGGTCACAGGCCTGGCCCCAATCTCAGTCTTGCAGGAACCAAATCAGACCCCTCCACCAGAGAGCCAGGTCCAGTGTTCAGCAAGTGAGGTCGGTCCTCTGAGGGGTTTGTCTGTCTGTCCAGGAGCGGGAAGGGCTGGGCAGAAGGAGGGGAGCCCAGGGCTGAGACCTGAGAACCAGGCTCTCTGCCTGCAGACAAGCCTGCATTGTGTCCCCCACAGGTGTCCACCAGGAGCCCAGATCTCTCAGGAGACCCAGGAGGTCGGCAGTCCTCTCTGTACTTTTCCAGAAATGATGAAAACCACTCCCGCCTCACAGGAGCACTGGCCTCAAAGCCAAGAGAGCCCGACAGAGCCTCAGAGCAGGTGGCCAGGACCCACGCCAGGAGGCCATTGCTATAGCTCCCAGATTCTGCGGGCATAMAAAGGGGGGCAGTGGATACCCCAGAGGTTGAGAAGAAACCACTGGCCAAAATCAAAGGCAGATGTCAAAGGGTTCCTCTGAGAAAACCTAGTCCAATGTCCATTTTATTGAGGAGAAAACCAGGGCCCAGAGAGAGGGAGGGGACTCGCCTCGGTCACCCAAAACAACAGCACCAGGACCAGGTCCAGGATCCCCACGTCCTTGCCAGGAATCCACACCAAGAGCCAGGGAGACGTTCCCTCCCCAGATGTAAAGGCCTCCTTCCTCCAGGTGTTCTGAGCAAATGGAACCAGGAAGCCAGGGAAGATTCCYGAGACCTGCCTGAGAATCACCGCCCAAAGCAGCTGCTGCCTGGGACATGCCAAGCCACACTCCTGCCTCGTGGGCCCCGAGCCCTGCGCAATCCAGAGGCAATCAGGTCCTGGGCTGTCCCTAACAGAGCCTGACAAGACCCTAGCATCTGGGTGGCTCAGCAGATGAGCGGCAGACAGAAACCCCCAACTCCATGTCCTTTTCCGCCCTACCCATCCACACTCTGGTGACAGGGTACACAGATGCCAAACCCGGTGTCACCAGCTACCTTCCAACATCCAGGTTCTGARAGCAGATCCGAGACCCACACCAGCTGAGACATACTGCTTCTTATTCAGTTTTTTAAAATATTTTTCAATCCATCTAATCATGCAAACGACAACTACTGGTACTACTGCCACTCAAAAAGTGGCCTGGGCACAACTGCTTGGTAGCCAAGGAAACTGAGGTTCAGGGAGGTGTCACTTACTCGCCATGTCACCTRAAGACATGGCGAGTAAGTGACAGGGCCTGGATGGGGACCCAGGTCCAGTCGCCCCAAAGGCAACACGCACAGCATGCCGTTTGTCCCCCTGGCCTGGTCAGCCAGGGAGGACAGGCAGGGCCGCTCAGCTCCACAGCTGTGGCTCCTTGCACTCTCTGAACACAGCAGGCCCCAAACAAGCGTGTAACCTATTTCAACTAGAAGCATGAAAAAAACATCAAAAGCAATTCACTAGAAGCAATGGGGGAGAGGGCTGCTTTAGGAAGATTTAGATTGTTCCCCCGTCACCTTATCATAAGCCAGGGAACGGGATAAGGGGAAAGTCTACTTGTCCCCTACGATGCAGGTTTGCCCAAACACGTTCCACAGCCAGTTGGCAAAGCAAGGATTCAAAGTCCAGCCACACGAACCCATGGTGGGTATTTGGGGGAAACTGGACCCTAGTGCCTACCTCACAACCCTCCTCCAGCGCAGGCTGGCTCAGGCCTGGGGCTTCTCGCAGCAAGACGGGCGGGGGGGSGGCGGTGCCCCTGGACGCCTTGGCCATCACCCAGCTCCACAGACAATGCATTGTGAGGGGGCCGAGTTCAGGGTCCTGTGCAGCCCCGGCCCCCAGTGCTGTGTCCCGGGGAAGAGCAAGGCAGGGAGGGGGGGGTATGTTTTCGTGACTATAGTGAACAGTCATTGCAGCCAAAAATAGTCTGCGCCTGGGAGCTGGGGAGTCAGCACATACCTCCCCGGAGCAGGTGCTGGGTGTGAGGCAGGCCCWGGCGGCCTCGCAGCAGGGGGCTGGGATCCGGGCTGCTGGGACCCAGATGGAGAGGTTTTCCCTGCCTTGCCACCTCCCTCCAAAAAAGTAGAAGGGCCTGAGTCAAYGAGCAACACTGTCATCTTCTTCCTCCCAGTGAGTCATCTGGGGTACCCCCACCTCCACATGAGCTCCCACTGCCACCCAGGCCCCCCGCAGCCTCTCCCTTAGTCAGGGCTGGGTGGTTTGAACACCCACAGGAAGCACCCTGTGACCTGCAGCGTGCCCTGGACAGCACACAAGACGGCCGTGAAGAGCACGCTCAGCCGTCCAGGTGCCAGCAGGGYACCCCGGAAACGGTGACCATGCCTTTCTGTGAACCACAAAAGAAATGTCAAGAGAGTGAGGCACTGGCGGGCCGTGCCTGGCAGGGTTGGGTAGGGATCTCGTTTTCTTTTCCAAGCTTCTGTGAATTATTTGGATTTTCCTACAATGAACGTGAGTTAGATTTAGAAAACCCGACTTTAAAATTAATTTTTAAAAATAAAATTAAAAAAGTAAAATTTCTCCAGCGTTAGAGAGGGAATGTGCACATGGTCCTATTCACGAGGACTGGGGGACAGAAAATACGAGGAAAATGACTCYTATTCACAGCCAGACTTGCTGGCTCCACCTCTGACCATCTAGGTGACCTCAGGTAAGTGACAGGTCACTTCAGTTTCTCTACCTCTATCGCACACTGAAGACGACAGCGCCGCCTCGTGAGGTTCTAGGGAGGACTGAATGGGACCCTGAGGGACCCTCACAGCTCCGTCCWGGGCACCCTGGGAGCAGTCACTAAATAATTATAGCATAAATTCATGAATAAACTACAGTAGAGGAAGGAAAAAACATTTCCAATAAAGGAAATGTGCCATGTTTATAGTTTTTTTTTCCTCTCTGAGTAGTAATATTATGAGGTAAACTGTCTATAAACGGCTGCTGTTATTCTCTTCTACACTTTTCACATTTTTGAACATGAGCATAGGTGTGAATTACTGGATGCTAAGAAAACAACCTAAGACGTCAATAACCAAGGATCGTCTCTGAGTAGCACCACAGTAGTCTTATTTTCTTTGCTTTTCTCTATTTTCTAAAATAAAGATTATTTTCATTAAAAATGTTATTAAAAACAAAACTTGGGGATGGGCTCCCCTCTCAAGTTCTAGATCTCCACAGAAGCCATCCCGAGAGCTGCAGGGCCTTCCACAGACGACTCTGAACCAGACACAGGAGTTCTGCTCACTGATGGGAGAAGGGAGACACAGTTGTCACCCAAGATTCCCAGGTGACCCTCCCCTTTGGACATGGTTGGGACAGGGTGCCGCAAAGCCACAGTAGCAGCTATTATTGCATCTGAGATTTTTCAATATCAGTTTTTAAAATTCTGTAGTCCTGGGATTAAACCCAGGGGTATTTTACGACTAAGCCACATCCCCAGCCCTTTTTGAGACAGTGTCTCATTAAGTTGCCTAGACTGGCCTTGAACTTGCAATCCTCCTGCCTCAGCCTCCCGAGTCACTGGGATTACAGGCATGCGCCATTGCATCCCCRGCAGCATCTGAGAAAGTCTCCATGCCTCCTCCTTCTGTCCTTCCTTCTGTCATTTCCTCTAAGAACCTACTTCTGAGTGCAGGTGGCCCTGAGCCTTCCGTCCTCTCCACCAAGGCCGAGCCCTTTAAGGCATCTAGAGTCTTTCTCCTGTGTTACAGTATGCTCATGTGACCAGAGTCAAGCCAATCAGAGACCTCCCTGGGATTTGGCAGCTATAGATCTGGGAACAGCAGCTCTTTGTGGATAGGCACTATTACAGTGGAAGGAAGTGAGGCCGGGCTGCTGTGCCCTTTGTGCCTGCCCTGTGGGGTGGACTATCCAAAGCCATGTGTTAACAGCACTGTCCCAGCCCTGCAGCCAGATAACTTGACTTATCTAAGCTCATCAAACTCTCTGTCTTAAGTTCAGTGGTACTTGAAAACTTGCTATGGAAAAATTTTGACTGAGGAGGAAAATATGAAGTTTTACTATGTAAGTGCTTATTTTGTGCCTGGTACCCTGCTACTCTTCCACCTAGCAACCCGTCCATCACCCCCGTCTTTCATCTATCCAGTCAATGAGGAGCCACCAATTACCAAGTGTGAGCACTTYACTCAGCTCTGGGGGCACAACAGTGACCCAAACAGTCTTTTGCTTTAGGGAGCTCACATGGTGATAAAAACCACAGAATAAAAAAAAATTATTTTTACACTAACTAAAATATGTAATTGAGATCTGCAAATAGGTGATAAAATGGAAAGAACACAACTACGAGAAAGTGGTGGCTGTGAGAGGCGTCTAATTTTAGACATGGGGCCTCTCTAAAGAGCTGACCTCGGGGYCCCTGCAGAGGATGAGGGGATGAGCTCTGAGGCTAGAGCTGGAATTTCCAGGAGGAAACAGAATGTACAAAGGCCCTGAGCTGAGACAGGAAACAGCCTGACTGGTTCTGCGGCCAGAGGCAGAGTGAGGAGAGGAGGAGATGGGGGAGGAGGAGGAAGACCCCAAGACCTCAGGGTCTCCAGGACACCAGGGACAGGTCTGTACTTCACGCTGAGCACAGTAAGACACCAGTAAAGCAGGTTAACTCAGAAAAGTGAGATTAACTGGATTTGGCTTTTAAGAGAAAAATCACTCTTAATTCATGAAGAATGAAAACACAGGGAAGGGAAAAGTCATTGGGGACAATGATGTAGGTGATCAGCTCCAAGCAGTGACTGCAACAATAGAGGAGGCGGCGGGGACGACAAAGAGAYTCAGATGGATTGGGGACATGGGTTGGGAAATCCAGACGGCAGGATTTGGTAGTCCCTTTGAATTGGGGGTGGAGGAAGTAGACGGCATCAGAAATGACTCCTGAATTTCTAGCTAGAACAACTGCTGGAGGAGAAATCAGGCGCAGAGAGGGTAAGGGACTTGTCCAAGGTCACACTGCTGGCAAACAGCAGGTGAGGATTTCATCTGCCTCCCAAGGCCAGGATCTGAGCCATCTACCTACAGAGGTCACACTCACAGCAATCTTGTTTTCCAACCCTGCTTCCTGCCCAAAAGTCTTCCTGCTGGGAACAGAGGATTCCAGAATTTAAGTGCAGCTATTTTTTTTAAAAAAAGAAAGTTGATGAAAAAAGAGACTTTTGCTTTCTAATAATTCAAACAGAACAGTGTTGACATTAAAAAAAATCCCCAATATAATCTGGCTCGTCAGATCTGTTGCAGAGCAATGTTGCCTCTGAGGTGGTCCCAGGAAGGGCGGGCGGGGGGCAAACATGAGCTATCAGCTTAGAAGCCAGAGGAAATGGCCCCGGAGTTGGCTCAGTACTCAAAACTAACCAGTGCAGTGGATTCATCCATTTGACGGAYTGATCATTAGAATGGACTAACTGGGTGGTAACTGTAGGTATGTGGGGCATGGGCTGGGGGTGGGTCACTGGGGGCATGTCCTTGGGGCTTATATTTTGCCCCTGGTTCCTCGCTCTCTCTCTGCTCCCAGATGCTGTGACCTGAGCAGCTTTCCTCTGCTGTCCCTTCTGCCATGATGCTACACCTTGCCTTGGGCTCAGAGCCATGGAGTCGGCCGACCATGGACCGAACCTCCGAAACTGTGAGCTCAAAATAAACATTTTCTCCTTTAAGTTGTTCTGGATCCCGTGTTTGGGTCACAGTGACGAAAACCAAGCACTCAACAAGCTCACCTAGTACATGCCAGAACGGAGAATGAGTCACAGTGAAAAAAAGCCAGATCCTTGCCCCCAGGGGCTCATGGGACTCAGCAGCCAGAAAATGCAAGGAGTGGAGGGGGGAGCTAATTAACCGGCCCCAAACCACGGAGCAGTACAGGGCAAGGACAAGGCTCATGCTCAGGACTTCTATTTCTAGAAACTAGTGGCTCCCCCACCTCAGAAGCTTAAAAGAGGGTACTTTGGTTCAGAATCAGAAAAATTAGTGACTTCATCAMCTGGACAGAGTGCTGTATGCAGGTTCCATGGAGACAGGAGCTCAGTGCCTAGAACAGTGCCTGGCACACATCAGTGCTAACAGCACACTCAACAAATGAGCCACGGAAGGAACAGGAGGGGGTGCAGGAGGAGGCCCTTGGCTCTAGGCCTGCCATATTTCATCCCTTCTCCCCTTGGGGGCCAACAGTCAGCTCTGTGCCGTGGTCATCTGCAGATGTGTGCCACCCCCCCAGCCGTCAGTGAATCCCCTGTGATGAGTAATCTGGGCACCTGGCACAAGGGAAGTGACCAATGGATGGATAATGAAAGAATGGAAAGGAAAGAGAGAGGAGGGGTGGGAGGGAAAGGAAAGAGAGAATCTGAATGAGTGGCAGCTGATTCAATGACCCGACTACACACAGTGGCCCCCAACTGGGCTGTTCTAGGTAAGATATCCGATGACAAAGTTGGGGAGAAGGACACCAGGGTTAGGATCACAACCACCCAAGTTCTCACCTGGCCATCAGCTCACTGGACGGTGCCGACAAATCACTCTGAGCCTCAGTTTGGGGCTCACATAAAATGGGGACCACAGGATCTCCACCCTCCCTGCCCCAGGCACAAGGCTTAAGCAGAGTAGTAGAGAGAAAATCTGGACCTTTCCATTTGCCCCGTTCCTTCCACATCCCAATGTCAGCTTTTCTCGGACTCAGTGACAGGATCGTGTCAGTCCACCTCTCAGGTTTCCACTCCCCCATCCTAAATGGGGAGGGCTCTGTGGTCTAGGAAGCCGAGATGGTACTAAAATCCAGCACCTCGTACTGCTATCTCAGTACTAGGACACAGTACCRCATCCAGGCAGCCCAAGTGGCTGGGGCTGACATCCAGAT